ATATGTGAATCAGTACTACTTTCCGGATAACAAAGTCTCGTTGAAACAATAGTTAGTATTCTAGTTAATTGCAATCTAAAATATTTAATTGCGCAAAATACTATGAATCAATTTCTTGATAAAAGTGAATCAATAACTATCTCTTATATTTAAAAAAAGACGAAGAGAACATAAAATGTTGTGTTTTAATTACAACATCTTAAAATGTGTTAACGAATATCTTGTGGCATTTAAATACCCACGGAGATTAAGCGTTCGCGGGAGCAAAAAATGTTTTTGGACCCCGAGAGAGTTATGGCAGTGCCATATCAGGGACCACTAGAGACTCGATTACCCAACAAATCACGAATCACTTGAACTTTGATTCCCATCTTTTATCAAAAACTGAGCAAGAAAAGACGATTTATTCTTTTTTTACATGCCTCCTCGTTATTTGTCTTTGTAAAGGCTCATGTAGTTACACGTAGTCATATTATGTTTTTAGATAACTAGTCGTAAAACAGCGTAGTAAGCGCACAAAAGTTTATAACCAGGCCAACTGAATGATAACCCAGCAACATCCACGCTTAGCATCTATGAAAAGGTCAAGTGAAACATTGTAAACGACAAGCGAAAAGAAAAAATATCTATCGCCTAGAGATTTGCGCGTTGCAGGTTGCTATTCTATTCTTTACGTGGTTGTTCGAATAAATCTTCAATTTATTATATCAACTGAGTCAGATTATAGAATCAAATTATAAACGGTACATAATGTATGATTATTAAGAAGAAAACAAACTATATCTCATTTTTATTATTTTACACTTTATCTCTCGAGAAAAGATATAAAGTACATTTTTTTTTTGCTATCAGTGCAAAGCGTCTTCGTGAAATGGATTAAATATCTAATTACTTTTATCGATATTTAGCCATTTTCGAAAATGTTTATAATCAAACGCAATTGAAATTGTGCAGGAATTTTCATTCTTTATTTCCTGTCTCGCTCATAAATTTTTAGTCAGTGACATTCTTAAAACACAATCACTAATTATTAAGTATAGAATTATGAGCAACGTACAGAGATAAAAAATTAGAGAAAGTTTAATGTTGAGGAGGGCTAAAGAAAACGTTGAAAGAAAAGGACAATACGAATAAAGCAAAAATCTGTACACACGCATTGTTTCCAGCTTGTCACGCGGGGTAAAGTTCATAACGAACCGACTTTCACCGGATTTAAGACGCGCTTGTTAAAACGGGTGGTTTCATTGCGAACTTATCGTGAACTTATCGTGAACTCGAATGAGACGGACGCATTAAATGCATTTTTCCACCGATAAGGAATCGCAAAGCACGAGCTGCGCGTACGTCGACGCCTCACGCCACACGACACTGCCAAGACTTCTCGCGAACCTATCCGTCAAAGCGCACGATAAATCTAACAATGAAAGTAGTCTGAATTTCCGCTGATCGATAGAACATTAAATTAAAGCGATGGTAAGAGACATCAAAGAGATTGTCAGATTCAAGAAACGAAGCATGTACACGTACACACGTATCATTCCTCTTGAATCGTTCTCTTTACACAAACAAGATGAGAAAAAGCTACTTTGCAGAATTTAATCAATTCCTTTATCTTCTACCAAATAAAAAATATTGAACTAACCACGCGCTAAGATTCACTCCAATCAACCTTCATCGGTGCTCCGTCAAAGTTCAAGAGGAATGAGTCAAGGGAAGGAGTGAGGCGACTCGATTTTCTTGTTTCCTATTCGTATCTGAGTTCGCGAGAAACACTGATTTCCGAAGATATGAAAATGTGATAACGATAGGTCGCGACATTTTTCTTTGCGGTCGTTGCACTGCTGTTGCACTTACCCAGGGCTTGAATCATGTAATGTCGTTAGCTAATCAAGCATTGATGTCACAC